AATAAGTAAGGCAATTTACCTTTAGTTTTGGCAAAGAGAAATACTAATCACTACAGCTAGACCGATTTGTTGAGGTCGTGGATTCAGCGACGTTGCAATCCGGAGCATCATGACTAAAGTGCAGATAACAACACCTTCAGCGTCTTCAATTTTTAAATCTGTCGTGTGAAGTGTAGGATACTTTTTCAAAGAAGCAACACCTGTGGGTCCATCTAAATAATTCATTAAATGACTTGGCCTGTGTTCGCGAAATAATATTTTAAATAGACTTGCGTTCACGAAAGGTGGAATTCTATCGAGGAATCAGTTGGAGGTAACCCATTCTGAACCATATTATTAACTAGAATTAAAAAACTGTTATCAAATTTCGATGAAAAGTGCTGGCTTCCTGCCATGGATACAAGCGTACATCACGTCTAGAAAAAAGTGAAAGATAAAAAATGAAAGAAAACGTGTGATTGCGCTTGAACGTCTTAGTGGTTAAAAGATTTTATTTACAACACATCTTTTGTTTCCATTGTTTTAGGACGAGTTCGAAATGCATCTCTGATTATATTTATGAAGCCACATAACAGTCACAGTCCTTACTACGTAAACAATAACAGCTTTTCTCACCCTAGGAAACCAATTACATATTAACTTAAATATCTGCACCTGACAACGACACAACTGACAAGAACTGAATAACCTTTCGTTACGCGGGTTGGCAATTTCGTCCTACAAATGTAACTGCGTGATTATCAGTTGAATTGAACGAATCATTCATATTACAAATGGATGTTTACGAACTCGTTTTCGATTGACTGCAGGCACGGAAAGTTCAAATCAAGACTGTTCATAAGGGACTGCGATGTTGCTTTAGAAAAAAAACTGAAAACAAACTGATTACAACATTGTTAAGACATGATTAGCCATTTTTTTATAACCTGTCATCCCAGTTTTTCCCTTTAGACAGAGGCTTGATGCCAACAGAAAACGTCAACTGTTTACCTCGGTTTCACTGTTTATTGCTTTGCTAAGCCGATGAACGTACGTATACGTAGCATTAAAAATACATAATCCTTCTACTTTCTTTCTGAACAAATCTTGCCGTTCGTAATCATTCCACATGCTTACCTATTTTTCCAATGGATTATATATTGAAAACAAGCTACAAAATGTTGCGTTTATAAAATTACAACATTACCGAAATTTCTCTTTACATTACTACTTGTGAAACATTCTCTAAAGAGAGTCTGGTGTCATATTAAGATGAAGCCCTCTGTCTTTTCTTGTTACCTTGGTTTGTTAATGACAGAGGGATGTTACACTTCCTTTATTTTATAGTGACACAGATTCTACTAAATCAGCATGTAAATTGCTTCAACTACTACTACTACATCTTCCTCTACTGTATTGCGACACAGATTCTACTAACTCAATATGTAAATTGCTTCAACCACTACTACTACTTCTTCCTTTACTGTATTGCCTCACAGACTCCACCACATTTATGCAATCTGCGCATAGGTGTAGGATGGGCAAATCTTGGCGTGTGTTAGTAATATATACATCCTGAGTTACATTAAGCGAAAAGATACAATTACCATGCAGTTTCAAGTTTCAAATTAAAGCTGTCTTTTATTGTAAGCCAACTCTGATGCGCCTTTTATCATGGACATCATGACCTTTTATTCGCAAATTTATGCATCCTAAACGTGGGATCACCTAAAGTTTGGCTGACATTACGAGCTAAACCAATGTGGAGAAGCCATTTCTGAACATACTTAAATTCATATAGTGGATAAGTGGATAAGTATTATGCTACATGCCTTACTCTCTGAACATTTCGCAGACCAACCCTGTCAGCCGGGGTGACAATTTGCCATGTAAACGTGTCAAGGTGGGGTAACCTGCCTAGTCGGGGTGTGTTCATGGCAAAAAGTTCAAAAGCGAAACATGTATGTTTTAAAACTTTGTACATTTCCTAGCCGTCTCATGGCAGAAATCACCAGAAACCGCAACGGACGCACAACGAGTGTAAAGTGTTCACACTACGGAATATTTAGCGTTGTAAATCGACCATATTTGGTTTCCCAAACTATTCCGTATAACGCATTAAGTCAACGGTTCCTCGCGAAACCAAACACCGCGTAACACAACGCGTGACGCTTTCATGAATAAATACATATGTGTCCGAGAATTAATCTTTCGTCTTTTTCGAGATGTAAGCTTGGGACGCCTCTGCTTAAACTCTATAACTGCAAGCGCAACAACAACCTCAAGAAACCTCACTCCAGCACCCCGGGGTTGTAAGATTGCATGTAAACGCGTTTTATTGTTCAACCATCTCCCACCTCCATGTAAACAGGCCCTTACTAGGCGGCTGTGCCCGGAAAAGTGGCTTTAAGGTGAAACCGAAACACGGAAAGGTGGTAAACAGACGACATGCTAACGTCTGTTTACAGTGAAGCTCATTGAAGCTCATTGGCGAAGGAATAGAGCACCTAGGCGAGATAATCCGTTATTACCGTTATTTCCGGCCAATTACCTGCGGGTAATCTGTTAATTATTCCACAAACAGTTGTTGGTGCGGGTTCTATGAAGGTGCGAGTAATACGATAATATTTAAAGCTTCCGGTATAGTTTTAAAACTATAAGCAGGAAAAAAGCAGAGATGATAAGATCCACCAAAGATACTCTTCAAAAAACCTGTGAATTAATTCATTTATTTCAGCAGATTGCTCGTTATAATAAGACACTCTAATGCTCTCGATGAAAGCTAATGCAAATCGAAAACATACAAAACTCGATAACAAAGCTTTTATCCTGTTTGTACTCTTACTTTCTTGCCTTTCAATTTCAAAAAACAATTCTCACTTACACGGGAAGTGAAAAAATAAAAGAATTTAATAGTGAAAAAGTTGGCTTCAAAGCAGTTCACACGGAAAATGATGCTGACATATTATGACATGTTCAATTCGTGGGCTGCTTAATTGATGGCGCAACAGAATTTTCGACGCATCAGGGTAATTTTCTTAGCTAGCACTGCCTTGAGTTAAAGAGTATTTTCCCCTTTCAAGCGATTTCTTCGACTCGTAGATTTCGTGATATCGATTTTTCTTTAGAACATATTTTTATAAGTGGTATCATTCTCAATGAAACAGCGAAGACAAAAAGTGTGAAAGTTTATTAATCGCACGTAAAAGGATATCATGTCAACAAAAAAAAATTAGGAAAATTTGTATGAGTCGACGATTTTCTTTTGTTTTTGGGTGCGGGTTATCTGCCAGTGCGGGTACTCTGTAGAAATTTTCTTCTCGTTCTTACAAAAATTGACAGATCCGGGTAATCTGCCGCGCGGGTAAATGGACGGAAATTACGGAATATTCCTCTTAAAAAATTTTTGCTTTCAACTATTGCTTCATGTGGAGCCATCAGTTACATCAACTGCAATAAGTGTGGACAGACTTCTTGCGCTGTTGTTGGGTCTGAGATACAGACAGGTTGTTACATCAAGGCGGATCCGAGTAGTCATAACATGCTTCTGGCATTAATCGGTCTTTCTAACTATTTTTCACTCTATCATTATCACCCTTTTTAGCCCTATTTCAGCTGTTTTGTTTATTCATAGTTCTTCTGTTCGTTGCGGCCTATTCTTACAGCAAGGTCAAAGTTCGTCTCCGCCACTAAATGCGGCTTTTACGAGGCAATATTTTCCAAGAACATTCGGCTCGTAGAGGCGTCGTGCCAACTGAATTGAATATAGCACGTTACAATAACACAGTTTCCGCCATTGCATGAGTACAGCTCGGAATATTTGTCTTCTATCTTACTATCATACTGGATTCTTTTTCACAAATCCAAGTTTTCATGACGTCAATTTACTTAAACTCATCTCTCAACCTCTTTCTTTACTGATGGAAAATCAGGGAGGCGAAACAATTGTGAGCCAAAGTAAACCCAAGTGTTGTACCAAACAATGCAAATCTGTGTGGGATGGACAGCTGGACTCGTGTCTTTTTAGTGTACAAGTTTTATATTCAGGCCATTGAAACGCCACGAGAAAGAATCTCTCTATCAAGGTGGCGGTTGTTATTCCACTAGTCTACAAAGAATGGCTTATAGTTGGGCGACAACATCCTCCCAATTGATCATTTTGATGTTAAAGGAATATTCTCCGTCACTACGGAGTGGCAGTAAACCACAGCCTCAAACTTTAATTCAACCATTTCTTGCTGAAGCATTAATAGCTTGCCTTGATCATTTCAAGATGTTACTAGGATTGTAGGAGAGAATTAGAGAGATTCTGCGGAAAATTAGAATAGGAACAAATTTAAAAACATTGATAAATATAACGAATGTTTTTTTTTTTAATGTTTGAAAGTCAAATTGCAAAATATTTACCTATGTCATTTTTACACAACAAAGGAACCAATTAAATTGCAAAATACTTCATTCCTCATCAGGTGGAAATGGGATCTTTTAAAATGAATGCTCTATGGCCATTTATTTTGGACATAAGAAATACGACTGCCCATATCACAAAGTGAAAGAGAATTTTCATCATCATCAGAGCAGGCCAAAACCAAACTATTCAAGGCTTTAGGGGAATTCAAGATAATATGTATGGTCGTAAGTAATTGTGCTTAGCCCATAACGTCACCCACCTGCGCCTTACAAATCGACCTACTCACGATATATTTACACAACAAAGGAACAACACGATTAAACATTTTGAAGTCTAACAGCTAATAACACCAAAGCAAAAATGATCTATCGGTTTACGCGAAACTAGTTTTGTAGACATCGACTGACGAAAACTCTTCACTTTCCGTTACGTGCAGTTCTCGAAACATCACTTAGCCACTATAACCAACAACAGTCCTTCTCAGAACTACTCTCACCTGAACGATCACAGTACACCATCAAAATCAGTCAAACGGGAACAGTTCACAGTAGCCAACATTTGCCTTTCTGAGAACAAACTCTCTTTCTCCTCATTTGAAGGCAGGTATCTGGCGTCACTTGTGGGGATGTCTGCAGCATTTGCATTTTTGAACACTTTTTTCTCCATCACCGCGACACTTGGCAATATTCTCATCCTAATTGCTCTTAACAAAGTGACTTCGATTCGTCCTCCAACGAAACTTTTGTTTCGATGTCTGGCGGTCACCGATCTTTGTGTTGGACTGATAACGCAACCGCTGTTTATAGTGACGCTTCTTGCCAGCAGCAACGTTCATGAATATGTTGTAGGCATACAGCAGGCTTCTTCTGTAGTTCTTTGTGGAGTCTCCCTCTTGACATCAACCGCAATAAGTGTGGACAGACTTCTTGCGTTGTCGTTGGGTCTGAGATACAGAATTGTTGTTACATTAAGGCGGGTGCGAGCGCTTATAATTTCCTTTTGGGTTCTACTTGTTGCTTTAGCTGGGTGTATCTACATTTTAGACATTTTCTTTATTGTATATGGTGTTGTGATGCTTATTTCTCTTCTTATCTCGGCCATTTCTTACGCTAATATCTATTTCCGTCTCCGTCACCGACTGCTTCATGTACAAGGCCATGTTCACCAACGACAACAACTTCCTCCGAATGGCGTTGTATCGTCTGCACTAAATGTAGAGCGATACAAGAAAACAGTTTCTGTCATATTATGGATACAGCTTGGATTATTTGCTTGCTACTCTCCTATTTGTGTTTATTTAGTTTCGTGGCATTTTGAAAAGTTTTGGGACACTAATGTGATTGACTATCTCATTTGTTTACTTTTCATTAACTCATCTCTGAACCCCATTCTTTACTGCTGGAAAATCAGGGAGGTGAAAGAGGCAGTAAAGGACACAATTAGACAGTTAAACTGTTGCTGTGAACAAAATTGAACCTTTGTGTTGTACAAAACAATATAAAACTCTGTGGAAAAAAAAACAGCTAGACTTAAATACAAATTATGTTCGGACTACTGAATCGGATCTCTGTATCGAGGTGGCAGTTGTTGTTCCTGTGGTCCACAAAAAGTGGCTTTACGCTGGGTGACAACATCCTGTGTTAAAGGAATATTTACTGTCACCATAGGGTGGGACTAAACCATAGGCTCTCTTACAATCAGCGGGACAAAAAATGCTAAAACGGAACTACACCAAGATACTGACCTGTTTTCTAGTTCAAATAAGTTTAAAGATATTGGACACTACTGTACTCTACTGTTCACCGGCTACTGAGCAAAGCTGCAAAGCCAACGAAAAGGAGAACCAGTTGTGGTCTACGACATGACCCTTTTAAATGTACAGTAAATGAAAACTAAGCTGTTTATTATAGATATTTTTATTTGACATGTTCCTTTTGTTCTCTTTCGCCTGGGATGGTCTGGAGGATTTCTTCCGCTTGACAAAAATATTCAAACTTGGAGCATGTAACATGAAAATAGTGTTTGGCGAAGGTTTATGTAAAGTCAATAAAAGAATAAATTTAACAAATAATGACACTTCATCAGCGATTTTTTCCGTTTTTCTTTGCTGAAGCTTTCCTAACTTCCCTTCTTCATCGTAAGATGTTTCTAGGAGAAAAAGAAACGGCCGTCCGATTATTGATGCCCATTAAATTCACCACCGATCTTTTCGTCTCATCAATTAGAAGCTGCACGCTACTTGAACAAGAAATGATTGACACATGTCTAGGCAGATCGAGCTTGTATCTCATGATAACATCTCTCATAAAGAAAAAGCCATGCTGAAAATTTCAAATTAATGGTCCAAAAGATAAAAAGTTGTTTACTTGGAAATGCCGGGTTCTCTGTCGTAGGCGTTTGGCTGCGCTACGTTCTTAATGTTTCTTGTATTTATACTAATTTTGATGGACGGGCTGCTGACTTCACTCAGTGTTGTTTTTAAGATATTTGTCCATTTAGACTACCATTTGGTGCGCTGAGCGATATTGACTGATGACTTAGCTTTATAAAAGGGCGCGCTCTGACTGGTTGATACGCTTGATCGATTTGCCTGTGGGCTGCATGCTGACGTCAGTTTGTTTTCCTAAACGAAACGAAAGATGTTGAAAGTCTCAATGTTATAAAAGAAATGGTTAGAGTGCAGCGTGCAACAAGGAGCTGTACACGTCCCAAGGAGGCTCCATAGGGTTTTTTGGCCGCGCGAGATCTGGATGCAAACATAGCACGAGCTTTAAAAGTGTCAACATGCAAAACAAACATGGCGGCTCGATGCGATAGCACGATTGTTATCTGAAAAGGTGTACTAAAAATAGTATAATACAATTAAGTCTTTATGCAATAAAATCTAGGGTTCCCAGCAAAAGCACTCGTAATATTCTTAGGCCTTCTACGCCTGAAAAGAGGTCAACGGAAAAGAAAACACAGTAGGAAAGATTGCCAGAAGGCGACAGATTTAAAAGTCTACGCATGCCCAGATACTGATCTTAGCGAAGCTCTATACCATTACATAATATTTTGGACAAAGAAAATAGGGATCTTTGGAATAAGATTTATCGCGCTTCCTTGGGTGGAATTTCCTAAGATTTGCTGGACCGTTAAACATATTCGTGCCCTTTCTAGTGCTTGTTGATAAAAAAAAGTAAGACCAAATTTGAGATAGAGAAAGAATACACAAAATTGCAAATAAGGAGGAAACTACTTTTGTGACCCCTATTTTTTTCGGCTCATAAATGATCAGCAGGAAAATCTTCACAAAACTGTGAAAATTTTGAGAGATCTCACCGAAGCAAATTGAAGAAAATCAAAGGCAAAGCCAAATTATAGCTGGCGAGCGCCTCCCTTCGTGGAGCCTCAACTTAAAAACGAAAATCATTTTGATAATGTTTACTACAGTAAACGATAGTCCGAACCTGACTCATTGCCTTTTGATGGCTTTTAGTGACCTTGAAAAGCGAAAACATCGAAATTTTCTAGAAAAACATTACGCTGGCGCGCGCGCCAACATTGAGCAAAAACCTTATGAAGCCTCCTTAAAATTAATTAATTTGAATTGGCAAGATATTAAACGAAGCGGGCGTCAGTTTTATTATCTTTTGGGCAACGTTCTAATTCTTCTTGCTCTGCACGAAATGACCTCGATTTATCCTCTAACGAAACTTTTGTTTCGATGTTTGGCAGTTACTGATCTTTTTGTTGGACTGATAACACAACCGCTGTTAACAGTGACGCTTCTTCGCGAAGAAATAGTGTACTTCAGCGAAAAGGCTTTGAAATCTTATATTATACAATAAATTTATACGATACGAAAATTATACGACATATACAAATTCACACCAAGGGGAAAATAGCACGCAAATAATCCAAGTTGTACCCATGCTATAGTAGAAACTGTTTTCTTGTATCATGCTACATACACTGGAATTGACAAGAAGTAAAATGAAGCGTGCGTCAATTATATTTTCTAAATGTTTACCATCAGATGGAGATCTTTCATCTGTTAACATGACTAATGTAGTCGCTATACTTCGAAAAATTAATAAATTAATCTCAATAATAAATTCACCAACCATTAGAAGTTTAAATTTTAAAATAGTCTCAATGACCATCGTATGAATCAGTGTGAATATGAAAGCAGTCTTCGCAGTCATGAACACTACTTCAATTGGTAGTACTGAAAATGAGGAATAAAAAAAAATTCATGCCTGTACGGGATTTGAAAGCAACTGTAGCTTCTTCCCGTGATGATTTTAAGATAATTGTCCATTTGGTCTAACATTTATTGTGCTGAATGATATCGAATTTCAGTATAGTCTACACTGAGTAAATTGACGGGAAGGGAAGGGAATTAGGCAGCATGCATGTATTTTGTAGCTTTCTAAGTCATGGCTTGCATTGTCGACAAGAAGATGTAGACATAGAAGCCTAAAGGCGTTATAGATGTAGACTTGTAAACGCTATTTCAAATAAAGATTCCATGCAAAAAAAAAAACAAAACAAAACAGAAAAAGACTGTATATCTAGCTGAAAGTGTGAAAAGAATGAGAAATAGGGTTTTTTCCATTTCCTTTGTAATATTGCTTTAGAATAACTGTTTATACTTAATTTATTAGCACTGCTTATCAAAAAAGAGTAGTTTCTATTGACTAAAGAAATGAAACGAGGCGTTCCAAACAGTTTTATTTCCATATGTTCACCAGGAGCACGATTTTAAGATTTGCTGGAACGTTAAACATATTCGTGGCCTTCCTAATGCCTGTTGAGAAGAAAAATCATAAGACCGAATTTGAGATAGAGAAAGAAAACACAAAATTGCAAATAAGGAGGAAACTGCTTTTGTGACCCCTACTCTGTTCGGCTTATAAATGACCGGCAGGACAATCTTCACAAAAAACTGTGAAACGTTTGAGGGATCTCACCGAAGTAAATTGAAGAAAATCAAAGGCAAAGCCAAATTATAGCTGGCGAGCGCCTCCCTTCGTGGAGCCTTAGCTTAAAAACGAAGACCATTTCCATAATATTTACTACAGTAAACGATAGTCCGAACCTGACTTATTTTTTTTTTATGGCTTTAAGTGACCTTGAAAAGCGAAAACATGAAAAAGTTTCTGGAAAAACAAAACTCAATGTTGGCGCGCGTGCCAACATTGAGCAAAAACCCTGTGAAGCCTCCTCAAACTTTCTTGAAAAAGTGTTGCTCTGAAAGTGTCGAAAAAGATCGTTAATGTTTTTTTTTCGCCACTTTCGTCATAAAATATTTTTTATAAATAATTGCTTACACTGATAAGCACTGCTTATAAAGAACAAATTAATTTGAATTGGCAAGATATTAAATGAAGCGGGCGTCAGTTTTATTTTCTTTTGGGCAACGTTCTAATTCTTCTTGCTCTGCACGAAATGACCTCGATTTATCCTCTAACGCTATTTCCGTCATAAAATATTTTTTATAAATAATTGCTTACACTGAGAAGCACCGATTATAAAGAACAAATTAATTTGAATCTACAAGATATAAAACGAACCGGGCGTCAGTTTTATTTTCCAAATGTTCACCAGGTGAAGAAGTTTCATCAGTTAAACTTACTAATGGGTCGCATTAATTGCCAAAAAAATTTATTTGTTATCTCAAAAATAAACTAAGCAACCATTCAAAATTTTGACTAATAGCAGATGTTTTGTAGAGCCATTTGCAATTACGCTTAGCCCATAAGAGCACCTACAGGCGCCATACAAATTGACTTATTTACGACATTTACACAACAAACAAACCGATCAACACGACTAAACTTTACCGATGGATTGCAGCTAGCCAATCACTACCCACTTACGCTAATTGAGTTTCTCAGGCAAAATAAACCAATCACTTTACACAAATTGGACTTATTACACTGGACTTACAACCAGCAGGAACATTTACAGTGGTCAACATCTCCCTTACCGACAAAAATATTCTCTGCTGCCGTAAGAGAAATGCTCAACACAACCGATGACTATACAAACTTCTCATTTGAAGTAGGTCATCTGTCAGGTGGGAGATTTGGAATGTCTATGGCATTTACATTCTTGAACGTTGTTTTGTCTATGACTGCGTCATTGGGCAACTTTCTAATCCTTCTTGCTCTACACAAAGTGACTTCGATTTATCCTCCAACGAAACTTTTGTTTCGATGTTTGGCAGTCACCGATCTTTTTGTTGGAGTGATAACACAACCACTGTTTACAGTGACGCTTCTTCGCGAAGAAATAATGTACTTCAGCGAAAAACTCTTTGAAATCACTTATTTTATACGAGAAGTATCTAGTTTTTTTCTTTGTGGAATCTCCGTCTTGACATCAACAGCAATAAGTGTGGACAGACTTCTCGCGCTGTCGATGGGTCTGAGATACAAACGGGTTGTTACATTAAGGCGGGTGCAAGCGCTCATTATCTTCCTTTGG